CCCCTCTTGGGTTTGTGAGCCGCCCTGAGTCCCGCTGGGAATAGGGCAGCATATAAATAAAATGAAACCGAAACCGGAACTCAATCCTCTACACTCTGAGGTGACTTCTTAATCCTATCAATCACCAATGGGAGCAGTTAGTGATTTCTCATTAATAAATGGAAAGAGCAAGTTAACAGTTTCTCATGTAATATTTCTCAAGATAGTTAATGTATCCCTTGTCTTTAGGCTGTTTGTACTTGATTAGATATTCTGATTTCTGAGGCTGATCATGTTAATTATCTTACAGACCAAATACGATGCAAACCAGGAAGCAAAAAAGCAGCTCCTTCCTATCACGACAGGAGATCTAACAAACCTGGATCGGCGCTGGAGTACCCCGGAAAAGTCTCAGAATGGACTTGCCTCCTTTGCACATCACGGAGATTTCCAGTATAGTAGCAGCAGAGGCAATGTCCTCGCAGATCACTTCCAGTATTCCCGGCAGAACTACCCAACGCTCTATAGCTCCAGTCGCTATGATATTTAGCGAGGGCGTATACATTGCTAAAACAATGTGAACTCTTCACATGGAGTTTTCCCCTTCCACTTGTGTGACTGTTTAGTCTCAAGGAATAGCCGGGGTCTGTGCATTTGTCCCATGGAGGGAGAAATGCTATAGAAGAGGATACTGCATGCCAAGCAATAGTTGCTAGTGGAAGAAACCACTGGGGTGGGTTTCATCAGGTAAATTGTGGCCATGCAAAAGCCCCAGTTCTGTAGCCTCTGAGCCTCTGTGGTCGCCAGATGCCCCTGAACATGTTGATTGTCCACGGTAGCACAAGCGTGGCCAGTTTTCCTTCTTTTCACTCCTGGTTTCAGATCTTTTTGAGTTTGCATTCTGCCTTACTTTTGCCATTCATTTCCAGTTATTTTCAAAAATGGAAAAAAAAACCCAACTCTTTTTCTCCAACCCTCTTTTTTTTGTGGAAAAGAGGAGAAGGTTTGTTGTATTCTATAATGAAGGTAGCTTTGCTGCTCATTGGCTGCCTTCGTTTGCAGCATTACGAGGGGGGGTTGCCAAAAATGAAGAAGAATGGGGAGCAGTTTCCAGTCTCTGGTGAAAGAATGAATGAATTTATTCTTTTAAAAAAATCATGTAATAGCAGGAGTTTGCTGCTGGCACTGTGTAGCAAGTATGGCTCTGAAATCCTCCCTCTCCTGCTCCTGTTTTAATCATGGTCTCAAAGCTTTTTTTTGTTTGGGTTTTTTTCCCCCCTTCATACAAAAAGGTGAAGCAAAGAGATCCGTGTAGCATACAATTTGCTCCATAGGGCAAAGTTTCATAATAATATCATGCAGCTTCAGGAATTATTTTCTGAGGGCTCTGGTCTCCTAGTTTACAAGGATCATTAAAAAAAAATACCACTATGAGTATTGGTCTGTCCTGATGTCAGATTTGGGCATAATTTGTGTACTGGATTGTTTATGTTGTCTCTTTGAAATAATCTTCATACTTTCTTTCCTGCTGTGGATGACATTTGCTTTTTGCTTCTTAAGAATTCTTTTCCTGGGTACTGAAACTGGAGCAACTAGTTCTTTCTCATGCACTATGATTAGCTGAGATCTTCAGCAAAAGTCTCTGACGTGTCCACTGTGCTCTTAAGGGTTTGTAATCATGTTTCTGGATTGCCCAGGTAAGACAGAAGCCCTTAGTTGATACAAAAAAAGCAAGTCTTAGACAGGAGCCAAATACCTTGGTCTATTTGTTTTTAAAATTTGACTGGACCCTGCTGATGGTGGGAAGGCAAAATATACACACCCACTTTAGGGTGTCCCATTTGATTTTCTTAAAACTGCTCTCTCCTTGAGCAAAGGGAAGCTAAAGACGTGGGTTCTCTAACCTGGGTGTGGAAAAGAAAATGCTCGGGATGAAAGGGAGCCACCCATGCTGTATGCAATTGGAAAAGAAGGTTTGCTTTCTGTAATAAGGCCCCTCATGAAGGCTGCAATATGGGGAGATTGCACGGGTTGGTAAGGGGGGGGGGGTTACTTTGGCCTTGTTCTGTTCCCAGAGGATTTCAAAAGGTTTAGGATAACTGTGCCAAGAGGACACTATTTTCCTTCCAAGTTATTTAGGCTTCATCTCTTCTGCCTTCTTCCTAGAGCAGAAAAACAGGAATGTCTCTCTACCAACGTCCCTCTCTTTTTATAATACTAAAACAGATGGCAAACAGAATAAAGTGGGAAAGCACTTTTTTCTTTTTAAGATGTGTGCTGTGGAAGAAAAAAATGACAAGACTTGGACTTATGCCTGGCCACTAAATGGAAACAAAATGAAAATTACTTCTGTACAGTTTGAGCAGGAGACCAGAGTCAAAAATGGGGGAACATAGATTTATAAAACAAAAATAGCTCATTCATTTTTGAGAAGGACAGAAGGTCCCAATATTTAAAAGTGGACATTATTCTTACATGTGTGTGAAGTAATTTCCGTACTAAAAGTGTGTTTGTCCAAAGAGAGTGAGCCTACTTTGTGAGATTTTTTATAAATGTAGGTGAAATAAATGTCATTTGAGATCTCGCCCAGTTTAAGACCAGTAAAGAGCAGGTTCCTATGTTGCAATAATTCAGTTGGGAACATAAATCTGCCACCTACTATTGATTAAACATTCCAGTCTCATTGATGGTTTAATGATGCAAAGCTGATAACAATTTTGATTTTTTTTAGAGTCCAGAATACAATATAAAACAGTAAGAGCCAGTAAGTTATAGTATGTTATCACATATCTTCCCTTTGTATCCTTTCACACTGTCAGTTTGGACAGAGATTTATTTTCTCTTCCTTCTGCCTAGATTCTCTGAAGCAGTGAGAGACATTGGGAATCTTGTTTTAGTAACAGGATGCTGATTGTAATTGGTGTAGTCCTAATGTACTATTTTAGTTTTGAGCAGTTGTAGCCCAATTAGAGCCAAAATAAGGGGAGCAGCATGAGGTATGACTTTGCCCTATATGTGATGAGAGCATATGCATTAGATTCACCCCCCAAAAACATGTTCCCTGTGAATTTCACATATATGTGAAGTTCAACATTTGGAGTATTGTGTTTATTCTTGGCCTGCTTGATATACTAATTTTAGGTGTCCCATCTACTCTCATACTTATTTGTCTTGGGAGGGGGTGAGTGGTAGGATAACAGTGCATGTATGTATGTGTGTATGCTTGGGGGAGGGGTGCACGTGCACTTGTATATATGTAATTGGAAATCCCGGTGGGTACTTGGCTTTGAATGTGTTGTAAAATTTCCGTAATTCCCCCAAAGCAAAACAATCAACTAGAACAAAGAGCTAGCTTGTAAAAGTTGTAAAAATTGGCTTTTAGATCTAAGATTCAACAAGCAACTTGAATAAGTAACATAAACGTAAATAAGTAAAAATTTGTCTCTCACTAAAAGGGACATTTTTGGTGCTGGGGAAATTCATGTTAAGAACTATTTACATATGTCCTTGCCTTTTTTTTTAATGTACATCCCTGGATAGCCAAATGAAGGTCTTGGATGGTGGCTTCTGAAACCTGCAGAAGTCAAAGTGGACTGACAAAATTTGTAAACACCAAAGGATACTAGAAACTAGCGATGAGCAGGGCATACCAGGTTAGCTCAGTCTGGTGTCTTCCAAACTTGTTAGATGTTACTTCACATAATCCCAGCCAACATGGCCAAATTCCAATGATAACTAGAAATTATGAGAATTGAAGAAAAAACGATTGGAGAAAGCTACGCTATAGAGTTCAAGAATATTTGAATTTAGTAAAGGACAAATTCCTTAAATTTTTTGAAGATTCTTCCTTTTCAATTACTTTTAGAACCGTAATGCAAAGAGTTACTAGGAGCATGAAGAACAACAAAAGAACTAGAGCAGAATCAACACATCCTGGTCATGCCCTCTAGTATCTTGCTGGAATATCTTTTTGCTGAAACATTTCCTTTGTATGAATACAAATGTTAGGTTCAAGCTGCATATTAGGCAGCATGGCAAGTTGGTTTGCTGTTTTCTGTGTCTTAAAACATTTCTAAGCCTCCTCTGCCATGGGAGGAACTTTTTTCAAAAAGTTAAGTCATTTATGAATTGGGGTAGCTTGGGAAAGGGTGCGTGGAGCCTCCCTGAGCCAGCTTCAGCTTTTGAGTCTGAATAATTTGGAAGTCTGTTCTTTTCAAACTGGCAAGATGGGCCTGCCTGTTTCCAAATAAATGTTTAGGTTTGTGTAGTTAGTCACTTGCCTCTCAGAGGGGCAATCTCGGTGGTTTGTATATGGCATTGACAATGTCTGAAAAAGGAATATTTAATGGAGTTGATAGGTGTGGATGTATATATTATAAATAAATGCAGTCACTCCTGTCCTAAAGTAAGGTGAACTTTTTTCAGGTTTTATTTGAAGTGTACAGGAACCATGATTTTTTTAGTCCGCACATTTAAAAAATTGGATAAAACAAAGTGTGTTGTAATTATGCTTTTTAAATTTGAATATGTAAATAAAGCTGAATTCTGCAAAGTTGAAACTTTCTTGATTGAATTTTTGTTGAAAGTAACAGCATTTTTTCCTAAAGATTATAGGCAACTTCTTTCTTCTTTCCACCAGTACCAGGGCATATGAGTCAGTCAGAATTCCCTCCATTAAAAATACTGAATTATAATAAGACTTATGGATTTTCATTCTTTCTGAAGTCACAATGCCTGGTTTCTTCAGATCATCTTATCATTACAGATTTTAATATATGCCACAGGTTTGTGCCTTATTGTGGCAAAAAAAACCCCCAATAAATAAATAAACATTTATTCCATGTCTAGCTTGCTTTTCTTCAACTTCATATGAAGATCTCTATTTTCGTTCTCACAAGAGCAACCTGTGAAGTAGGTTGGACTCAGTGGTGGGTTCCAGATCCCGTTCGAATTGCTACATTGTACCTGCCTGCAACGCCTCCACAAGCCTCTGCGACGCTTCAGCTGCTCAGCGGAGCATTGTGTAGGCGCTGTACGCGCCATGTGTGCACGGAAACGGCAAAGGCTTAAAAGACAGGTAAGGAGCTCGAGGGGGCGGGTGGACCCTCCGGAACACTGAAACGGTACCTGGTGCTCCGGGCAGGCTCCAGTACGCCTGTACCAGGGCGTACCACCTGCAACCCACCACTGGTTGGACTGAAACAGTGACTGACCCAAAATCACTCCCAAGGGCTATGAATTCAGTCTTCTGTGGTTCCATTCCAGCACTGTAATCAATGCACTGGCTCTTGATATCACTCATTTTAGCACTTTAACACTTAGCTGCTTTGCACCCCACTATTGAAGTAACCCTTAATTTGAGATCTGTTTCCTTTGACAGAATTCAGTCCTTTTTATGAAGAAGACTTGGAAAATTATGAAAATAGGTTTTGCTTTTAAAGGAAGTAAGGCAATAGTTCTGCTAGCACTGTAAAAAACTAACATGAGTTCCTAACACGGTATATCTATTCCACTCCTGAATACAGGTAGTCTCAACCACAATTGAGGCCAACATTTCTGTGGCTAAGTGAGACAGTTAAAGTGAATTTTGCCCCATTTTGCAACCTTTCTTAGCACAGCTGTTTGAGTTTGAGTTTATTATATTTCTATGCCGCCCTATTCCCCAGAGGGACTCAGGGCGGCTCACAACCAAGTCGGGGGTGGGGGGTAGGGTACAAATAAGAAAAAAAAGAACACGAACAAAACAATACCACAATTTAAAACACTCAAAAACCATACCATTCGAGGGGGGACA